CCTTCAAAGATAAAAATAGAAATACTTAAAAGTATTTCTTATAATACTAAATACTTAAATACCACTCTAAATACTTAAAACATTCTTAGAGATTTAAAAAAAATCAGAACATAAAAAAGTGAGCAAACAAACAAAAAGAGAGCTCTGATATAATTTAAAATAAATGATGGGGTTAGAGAAGGAACAAGAAAAGCACCTGGAGAACAGAAGACTGAGGTGGGACTCTGGCGGAGGGGATGTGACTGTTCTTAAGTATTTGAAGGTCTTTGTGGAAGAAGGAATATAGGCTTGTTTTACTATAGGGCAGCAATGGGTAGATGTTGCAAAGATGCACATTTTAGCTGAATGCAAGGAGAATTTCCTAACAATTGGAATTATCTGAAAGCAGTAAGGGCTTTCTCAAGAGGTAATGGATTTCTGTTCACTAGAGGTGCTCAATTGAAGGCTGGATGACTCTGCTCCCCTCTCTCCACCATGAGATACTTTATAGCGGGGCTTCTTATTCAGGTATGGATTGGAATAGATGGTCTCTGAGGTTTCTTCCTTCAGGTTCTGTGATTTTCGCATCCTACTCATTTTTCAAAATGAGGTTTGGTTTTTGGTCTTGGTTCATCTATATAATTTCTTTAACTTTTCCTGCTTTTATTCTGTAAGCAGTGAGGATCCACTGAAGGTTTTTGAGCACAGAAATTATCAAAATAGTCCTTTAGGAAGATTATCTGGGATCAATGAGAAAGATAAATTGGACTGGAAGGAAAACAAGAGCTAGAGGTAGGGAGACCAGTAAGGATGGTATTGTAATAGTCCAGACAAGTATTTATGGACTTGTAGAATAAAGTTAGTAGCAGTGGGAAAGAAACTGAGGGCATAGATTGCAAAGGTATTTGAGAGGCAAAAGCTATAGGAGTTGATGACAGTGTTGGAAGCAACAGTTGAAGATGACTCAAAAACTTTGAGCCTGGGGGAAAGTCAGTCAATAAACATTTCTCAAGCACCTACTATGTGTCAATTCTGATACCATCAAGGTAGAAATTCTCTCTACCTTCAAGAAAACAGAGCCTAAGTAGAACAGGCTGACCAGGGATTTGCCTTAGGTTGGCAGCAGTATCTTAAGACCAACTTTCTAACTCTGGTGGTTGCAGCCTAGTTACCAGGCCCCCTTTACTATCTCCTAGCAGCATCTAGTCATTCAGCAGCATAGAAACCTCATGGTGGCCTAGAGTGCATTTGCATTTCTTGAAGGCACACGTGTTGGTGCAAAAATTCCTAGCCATGGCACTATTTGTGTAGAGTCATAGGAGCTGGAGTCACATAGAAGAAGGTTAAGGAGTCAGGGAAAGCTGAAGCAGTGATTGTGGACTGATCTATAAAGAAATGTAACATGGAGCCAGGAATCGGACAATTATATCACTTCTCACAGCTTTCTTACCATGCACCCTCTCCCCCCAGCCTAGCACCTCTTTATGTATTGTCTTCCCTTGTTAGGATACAAGCTCCTTACGGGCAAGCCTATCTTATTTGTGTGTGTGTGTGTGTGTGTGTGTGTGTGTGTGTGTGTGTGTATGTACATGTTTCTATCTCTAGGTCTTACTACAGTGCCTGGCAAATTCTAAGTTCTTAATAAGTGATATATCTATAGGTTATTCCATCTAAAATCAACTGTCCACTTGCATGATAGGGGTGGCTAGGAGGCCCAGTGGATAGAGTGCTAGGTCTAGAATCAGGAAGACCTGAATTCAAATGTGGCCTCAGACACTTACCAGCTGTGTGACCTTGGGCATGTCACTTAACCCTATTTGCCTCAGTTTCCTCATATGTAAAATGAGCTGGAAAAGGAAATGCAAACCATTCCAGTATTTTTTTTTGTCAAGAAAACCCCAAATGGGGTCATGAACAGTTGACTTGACTGAAATGACTGAACAACAACAACACTTGCATGATAACTTGAAAGGGTAGTAGAGTGGCAAAGTTGAGTGGCACGTGTGTGTGTGTGTGTGTGTGTGTGTATGTGTAAATGGGGATTTTAATATTTAATATTAATACTAATAATGGGATTTAAATATGTAATATTAATAATAATATCTAATCTCAATAATCACTGAAGATGCTAAAATTGAGGAATTGGGGATAATGGATGACAATGGATAACAAGGCCCTCCTGAGGAAGGGAATGGAATCAAGGGTACAAGTGGAATGACGAACCTTGGTAAGAAGAGGGATGCTTCTTCCTCTGTGACAAGGAGAAAGGACAAGAGATTTTGAAGTGGAGAGGAGGAAAATTGGTGGCTTTAATCTTTTCAGGCAAGTAGGTCATCTGCTAAGACTGACAGGGGTGGAATGAAAGTGGGAACTTGAAGAAAGTCGAAAAGTGTGGAATTGCCACTTTGAAGAATGTAATGACTTAACAAGAGATGAGAAAAATGATTGTCAAGCAGCAGAAAGGGCTTTTCTAAAGTTAGACAGTATAGATTTGTAGTAAAATCAGCAATGTGACTTTCTTCAGCAATCCAGGAACGAAAATGGAAAAAGTAGAGAGTTAATTACAGATAGATAATTAGATAGATACAATTTATTAAGCATTAGTATTTGTCAGTCACTATAATAAGCTCTCAAGATACATATTAAAAAGCAAACAAGATAGCTGTGTCCTTAAGGAGTTTATATTTTAACAAAAGAAGACAATATATAAAGAAGGAGAGAGATGAGGGTGGGAAATGCAGGTGAAAAGATTGCAGGAAGGGATGTAGTGATCTTATTCCTGGTTAGATCGGGCAAAAAAAGTCTAGGTTTGGTGGTTTAGCGGAGTGAATTCCTACTTTCCAGTTGGGTCTAGATGGCCTAAGAATGAAAGATACTGTAGGCAGTGGCATAGTGGTCTGGTTCCTAGTTAGATTTTATTGAAGGCTTGGCAAGTTGAGAAAAGCAGAAAATCAAGCAAGAGAGGGATCCTAGGGATTTAAAGAGAGAACTCTTATAGTAATTGAGCATGGGGTTCAGGCTAGGTGAGGAGAAAAGTGAAGCTAAGAGGATAAATAGAATGGGAACATGAAGAAAGGTTGAAAGAATATTGGTCTTCCTTATATAACCAACAGGTATTGTTGTGGAGCAGAGTTTGGCTCACTCCCCACTGAAAGTAAAAAAGGTAGATTCCTTCCACACCATGCTTGATTCCTTCCAGACCATGCTTACCTCCTCCCATGAAGTTAGCTTTGGATATAACCTCTATTCTGGTCCCTACTACTACTACTACTACTACTACTCCTCTCTTTCATCCCTCTCCTTTTTCTCTTATAGTGTATTGTATAGGGTAGAGATAGAAGAGAGAGGATACGAAGATTCTCAGCTTAGGAACTAATATCTAAATCAGTCCAACCTGAATGCAAAGAAAGAGATTAGTTCAAGTTAGATTAAATGAAATAACATTTGTAAAAAAGTTCTTAGCACAGTGCCTGGCACATAGTAGGTGCTGTATAAATTATTATTTATCATAATAATTATTATGATAAATAATATAATAATAAATACATCAATTATTATGTAATATAATAAACATGATATATCATATATTATTATATATAATAATTATAATATTAAATTGTTCCCTTCTCTCCCTGGTTTTACCCCATCGACAGATGGGTCCAAGTCAATTTCCAGATTCTTTCCTTTGCGAAACTGAGGACCTTAAAAATAAAGTTTAATAAAGAAAAAAAAAAGAAAAGAAATCACACTCTGTTGCCCATAGCTAGTAGTCCCAGTATTTAGCCAGAGATTAGAATCTCTAACCTATTCAAATTTTTGCATATTGCAGTCTATACTTTTTCTTTCTTTCATACACTAACCAGTATTAAAAGCATAGGTACTTGTGTGGCAGAACAAGAGCTATGGGAAGGCCTTAAAGAGATAAACATGAGTCTGCCAAGCCCAAAAATTAGTGTTCAGCACTATTGAAGGTCTATACCCTTTTCATCTGTCAAAAATTCCTGTAGGAGCCAGTGCTAGGGCCTGGAAGGGGTCTGGGGAAGATAGAAAAGATAAGCTATGGTGCCATAGATTGATAGATGAAACCTTCACATGTTATAATGACTTCCTGGAGAGGGGTTTAATGGGTTAGAGAGGAAGTGCATGAAGACTGTGGACCTTGACTAGAGAGGAAAGGAGACCTGGAGTAAAGGAGCCATGGGAGGGACATGGTATCAGTCTTCAAATACATGCAGAATTACCATGTAGAAGAAGGGTTATATTTGTGCTGCGTTGCTCCAGAGGACAAAGCTAGGATTAATAGGTGCAAGTTATAGAGGAACAGATTTTGATTCAACATGTCTTCCTAATAATTAAAATTGTCCCAAACTGGATTGGACTCTCTCAGGACTGGGGAATGACAAATGTGTTGGAATAGTAGAGTTGGCAGGAATAAGTTTCCTGTTACTAGGGGTCTTCAGATGTTCTACATAGGATTTATAATTTGAATGGTATTAGACTCGATGACCTCTGAGGTTCTTTGAAATTCTATGATAACTTCTATGATTGTATGAGGGAATCATCAGATGATGTTGTATGTGGGAAGGGCCGTCATTGCAGCTGGGAAGGGTCTGGAGAGGTAGAAAGGTTCTCCTTACTGAATTCTCAGACATGAATGTTTTATTCTATGTTGATATTCAATAGAAACAATATCAATGTTTTCCTTCTTTGCATTTCACCATTTCACTTATCTGATACTATTTTTAAAAAGAACTATAGTTAAGGGTTTCCCCACTTTCAGTCATTCATTCGACCACTTCTGCTGAATCCCAAACAGATGAAAGCAAAAGCAAATATGGAGTCAGATTAAAAGGCAAATACAGAGTCAAGACAAGTCTTTAACAATAACTTTCTGATCTTCAGGAACATTTTGCATTTAAAAGCATGATTTGCCTCAAAAATAATTGGACTCTTTTTCATTCTGTTCTCCCATTTTTCTTTTTCTTAAATTGACACTTTTTTCTGTTTTATTTATTTTACAGTATGCCTGGAATAGAAATGAAGAATACTTATTCAAGGCAATGGTGGCTTTTTCTTTAAGAACATTTTCCAACAAAGAAACAATAGAGTAAGCAAATAGTTGAAATTTTCAAAATGTTTATTTGTGGTTTTTATTAGAGGTAGTGCCATATTTCACAACTCACTCTTTTTAAAAAAAATTTACATTTTTAATGCTATATCAATCAAATTACCAAAGGATACTTTATGGAGTTTGATAAAATAATAATAAAATTTATTTGGAAAAACAAAAAGATCTGGAATGCCAATGGAAATGACGAAAATAAGTTAGGATGAAGGATTAGCATCTCCATACCTCACGCTATAATATAAAGCCACAGACATCAAAACTATCTGTATTTGTGAAAAACAAACAAACAAAAAAACAAAAACAAAAGCAGAGGGATAGATCAATGGAGCAGACTAGACAAGAGAGGTTGAGAAACAATAGAACCCAATTACCCAATGTTTGATAAAGTAGAAAATGTAAGTTACCTAGGGAAAATCTCCTTATTTGATTAAAAAAAAACTACTGGGAAAACAGGAAAGCAGTCTGGCAGAAATTAGGCATAGAGAAACACTGTACACCACACTCAATAAATGGATATGTGAACTTAATATTTTTAAAATTTATTTATTATTTTTTTAAACATTCTTTTTATTTTAATTTGGGTTCCAGATTCTCTCCCTCTCTCCCATACCTCCCATACCCTTTGAGGAGGCAAACAATATGATATAAATTATATGTGTGAAATCATGTAAAATGCATTTCCATATTAGGCACATCACAAAAATAAAGAAATAAAGCAAGAAAATTATGCTTCATTTTGTACTCAGAGTTCATCAGTTCTCCTTCTAGAGATGGATAGCTTGGATAGCTTTTTTTCATCATGAGTCCTTTAAAATTGTTTTGGATCACTATATTGATCAGAGTAGCCAAGGCTTTCACAGTTGATCATCATTATAACATTTCTGTTACTGTGCACAATGATTTTCCATTTCTTCTCACATCATTTTACTTTAGTTCATACAGGCCTTGCCATGCTGTTTTTTTTTTTTCTGAAACCACTCCTCTTGTCATTTTTCATAGCACAATAATACTCCATCACAATAATGTGTTACAATTTGTTCAGTCGTTCCCCAGCTGATAAGTATCCCCTCAATTTCCAATTCTTTGCCACACAAAAAGAGCTGCTATAAATATTTTTGTACAGATACATCCTTTTCCTTTTCCTTTGATCTGTTTAGGGTACAGATCTGGTAATGGTATTGCTAGACCAAAGGATATACACAGTTTTATAGCCCTTTGGGTACAGTGGCAAATTGTTCTCCAGAATGGTTGGATCAGTTCCACCATCAGTTCATTAATGTATTTATTTTCCCTCATCCTCTCCAGCATTTGTCATTTCTGTTTGTTGTTGTTTGTCTTTTGTTCTTGAAGAGGACCATGACATCAGGAAGATGATGCCATGACTTGCAAATGAATTGGACTTAAGTGAGGGAGAGCTATGCAAAGTCATCAGCCTCTCTTTCTCCTCTGGAGCCATCTGGGTCCAGTGGCTTGCTTTTCTCTAATCAATAGTAGTTTAGAGCATCTTTTCATGTAATTATAAATAACTTTGATTTCTTCTTCTGAAACCTGCCTATTCACGTGGTTGACCATTTATCAAGGGGAATGGCTCTTATTTTTATAAATTTTAATTAGTCCCTTATGTATTTGATAAATGAAGTCTTTATCAGAGAAACTTGCTGTAAAATGTTTTGATATTATTTCGTTGTCTATGGTACCTTTTAACAAAACGTAGATTCCCAATTATCTGTTTCAATTAGGTCTAATTTTGCTTGTGCTTTGTCTGAGATCCTGATTGCCACACCTGCCCTCTTCACTTCAAATGAAGCATAATAAACTCTGCTCCAGCCCTTCATTTCAACTCTGTATGTGTGTCTTTCTGTCCCAAGGGTGTCTCTTGTACACAACATATTGTTGGATTCTGGTTTCCAATTCATTCTGTTGTCTACTTCTGTTCTGTGGGTTAGCTCACTCCATTCATAGTCACAGTTATGATCACTAACTGTGCATTTCCCTCCATCCCATTTTCCTCTTTTTTTCTTCTCTCTCTCTCTGTCTCTCTCTCTCTGTCCCTCTTTCTCTTAGTCTCTCTCTCTCTCTGTGTCTCTCTCTCTGTCTTTCTCTCTCTCTCTCTCTCTATCCTGTCCCTCCTCAAAAGTCTATCTTGCTTCTGACCACTGCCTTCCCACAATTTGCCTTCCCCTTTATCACAGCCCCACCCCCCATATCTCTTATCCCATTACTCCTCCTGTCTCCCTATTGGGTAAGATAGATTTCTATACCCAACTGAGTATGTATGTGTGTGTATACATACATACCTACATACATGTATATATATGTATATATGTATGTGTATATATATATATATTCTTCCCTCTTTGAACCAATTCCAGTGAGAATGAGGTTAAAGCATTGCCTGCCACCCCAAACCCCATCACCATTTTTCATCTTACTATAAAAGTTCTTCTTTGTATGCCTCTTTTATGTGAGAAAATTTGACTCATTCTACCTTTCCTTTTCCTCTTCTTCCAGTGTATCACTCTTTCTCACCCCTATATTATTTTCTTTGAGATCATTCCAACATAAATGACTCACACCCATGCCCTCTGTCTATGCAGACTCCTTCTAACTATGCTAATAATGGGAGTTACATGTATCATCTTCCCATATAGGAATGTAAACATTTTAACTCCATTTAGTCCCTTATGATTATCAGTTTCATGTTTCATACCTTTCTTATGCTTCTTGAGTTCTGTTTGAATATTTTCTATTTTTCTATTTTCTATTCAACTCTGGTCTTTTCATCAGGAATGCTTGGAAGTTCTCTGTTTCATTAACTATCCTTTTTTTTTCATCTGAAGAATTATACTCAGTTTTGCTGGGTAGATTACTCTTGGTTGTAATCTTAGCTTTTTTTGCCCTCTGGAATATTATATTCCAAACCCTCCACTCCTTTAACATGGAAGCTGCTAAATCTTGTGTGATCCTGACTGTGGCTCCCTGATATTTGAATTGTTTCTTTCTGGCTGCTTGCAATATATTCCCCTTGACTTAGGAGCACTAGAATTTGGCTATAATATTTCTGAGAATTTTCATTTTGCAATCTCTTTTAGGAGGTGATCAGTAGATTCTTTCAATTTCTATTTTATGCTCTATGTCTAAGATATTGGGGCAGTTTTCCTCTGTAATTTCTTGAAATATGATTTCTAGGGGTTTTTTGATCATGGCTTTCAGGTAGCCCAATAATTCTTAAATTAACTCTCTTCAATCTATTTTCCAGGTCAGTTGCTTTCCCAATGAGATATTTAACATTTTCTTCCATTTTTTTCATTCTTTTGACTTTCTTTTATTGTTTCTTGAAGTCTCGTGGAGTTATTAGCTTTCATTGCCCAATGCTAATTTTTAAATATTATTTTTCTTCAGTGAGCTTTTGTACTTCTTTTTCCATTTGTCCAATTTTGCTTTTTTAAGGAGTTTTTTCTTCAGTGAGCTTTTCCATTTGGGCTATTCTGCTTCTAAAGGAGTTCTTCAATTTTTTTATGCTTCTTTAAGCAAGCTGTTAATTCTATTATTATAATTTTCTTGCATCATTCTCTTTTCTTTTCCCAATTTTTCCTCTACCATTCTTATGTCTTTCTTTAAGTTTTCTAGGAATTCCTATGGCCTAGTATCCAATTAGCACTTTTCTTTGAGGTTTTGTTTGTAGCTCTTTTTACATTGTTGCTTCTTATTAGTTTATGTCTTGGTCTTCCCTATTCCTGTAGTAGCATTTTATGGTTCAGTTATTTTGTTTTTGTTGTTGTTTGCTTGTTCACTTTTCCTGTCTATTTCTTGACTTTTAACTTCGTGTTAAAGTTGAACTCAGCTTACCTGGGAGTTCTGTGAAAGGCTTCAGGCTTTTTCATGCTGTTGTTTTCAGAGATGGTTCTAGAGGTCTGCAAGTTTTTGGTGGTGTGATCCAGGGAGAACTTGTGGTCCCTGCTTTCCTGGTGTGAGCTCTTGTTTTTACCCAGGAAGGGCTTCTATTTCTCTGAAGCTGCAAGTATTAGTGCTCCTCACCACCCTGGAACTGTGACCCAGAACTGTTTATGGGCAATAGAGTTGCCAATCAGCGCTAGCTGTATCTAGTAGCAACAAAGGGTTCCCTGTGATCTCTTTCTGATCAGTTGTCCAATGCTCTGTCTCTGGCCTGAGAGCTCTTGAAGCTGCATCTACAGGTGCTGCTGCTATCACAATTACCCCAAAACCCACTCTTTGTGTTCCTGCTGCACTCCCAGCTTGCTCCTACCACAGTGTTATTGACCTTTCCTGAGAGCCTCCTAAGTTATCTTAGGCTGGAAAAATGTCTTCCTCTTACTTTTAGTTGGCTCTACCTCTCCAAAATTTGATTTGAAGCATTATTTTGAATGGGGAATGTTAAGAGAATTCATCTAGATCCCAACCCGTACTCCACCCTCTCAGCCACTTGCAGCTTACTCTTAAAAACTAATTGTGTTTAAAATTAATCAATTAACTGAATTTTTCAAATAATTGATTATTTTTCCCCATGTGCCTTATTTGAAGAAGATAGCCCATATTATCATCACTATGTCAGCAACCTTCTTATACCATAAAGTTATGTTACTGAGTGTGTGTGTATGTGTGTAAGGAAAAAGAGTCATTTTCCTCTTGTATTTTCCCCTTTGTTGTTTGCTGAAACAAAACAAACAAAATAATTATTCTTTGACTATCAGCCTGCATGATTATCCTGAACAAAGAATTTATCAAACTATTCTAATTATACTTAAGACCACATTGAGATTCTGTCTTTGCACAGTTTTACTCTTAAATATTACATTTGCACACAGAAACAAGGATTTTATAGCAACCTCTAATCTTGAAGTCAAATCAAATGTGTTTACCCCAACTTTCTGAGGTACAGGATTATTTGAGACTAGGGAACTGTCATAGGAGCAATATCTTCTAGGATCTCTGCCATATAGGCTAAGTCAGCTTTTTCT